TGTAGTATAGATTTAGTTGTAGCTGTCCAATGGAACGTGCATGCATTTTTTGTGGGAAGTTAATAATCTTAAAATGTTTAATACTTTGGATGATAACTAAAACAATAAAATCCGGTTTAGATGAAAGAAGTTTGACAAAAATAAAAACCTCAAAATACACACATGATTAAGTTTCATGCAAAAGAAAGAAAACTAGGTTGTAGCAAATTTGACAATATTCAATCAATGAAAAATGATTAGAAGAAGAAGATAGGAATAGAAAAAAGAAATAGGAAGATATCACTAAAAGACAATTTTTATGCTTCTACAAGGATAAAGCCTCTTCTATAAGTTTTTGCACATATGAAGTAATTTTTTATTAATCATAGATCTCTTTTATGTGCCTAAAATATTTATTTTTAATCCTTAAGAATTCCAAAAAAGGTAAATGGCCATATAAGGTATCACTAAATGCATCCCAACATTCACATCAGTCATCGTCTTATACAATCCATAAAATTGCCAAAGGACCCATGTAGCCTTTGACCCTACATAACCTGCTGTTGAAGAAACTACAAAAAAATAGAGCTGAAGGAAGACCTGAACTGCTATTATAACATTATTGATCTACATATGTGATTCAAAACTCAACCCAATTCAATGCGATGGCGATGATGGAAAACAGATGTAAATATGCGAGAAATTGAATTAGAATGTCCAATTTACATGAAAAGCATGCCCATTTCATCGAATGGACTTTCTTGCATTTGAAACATTAAAATGATCTGGCATATCTCCTTATATTGCTCGGGTTGCAACGTGAAAATTGAATTAGAATGTCCAATTTACATGAAAAGCATGCCCATTTCATCGAATGGACTTTCTTGCATTTGAAACATTAAAATGATCTGGCATATCTCCTTATATTGCTCGGGTTGCAACGTGATGAAACCAAGGTTGTAAAAACCGTAACTTCAAGGGAAAGCATGATGAAAGTTAGATTATTTGTTATTTTTTTAAATTAGTGTGATCTTTTTGTTCTTTTGATGCAACAACTACTTACTTGCATATGAGGTTGGTCCCCTCCGTGCAATGTGTGATATCACTTCAAATATTTATACTATATTTTTTTCAAACATCACCTTTACTTGGTCTGCTTATAATGTTAACTAGACTGACACAGTAGATGATTAGATAGCTATAATTCGCACTTTTGCTCACTAATAGTTTTCATCTTGTGCCAACGCAGATTCTTTTGAATGAAAATTTATGTTAAATCTGCTTCTATAAATTTTTTGTTTGTTGCTTAATATTGTGGTTTTCAAGTCTTATATAGTGGTTACTATAATGTTTCTTCTGCTCAGATTATTGCTTATCTATGTTGTTCTCTAGTTTTGACTTGTGAGGCCATTAACAAGTACCTAATTACATAGTTCTCTTACCAAAACATGGCCTTTGGGTATTTTATGTTTTTTAAGCATTTCTTTTGTGCGTAAGGAGTAAAGAAGATCACCAATGGTTTGTTTGATCATCTCTATATGATTATTATTGGTTAGATTCAGCTAAAAAAGCCCTTTGTATTGTTTGTTTGAGTTTGCGTGTCTATGGAAGGTGTTGCATATATTGGATAATTAAGGTGATTTCAAAACGAAGGGCCTATGCACCTAATTTTGTAAATATTTAGTTATAATTCAGTGAGAGTTTCTTGAAACAACTGGAAATTAGAAACAATGGAGAAATTTATTTAGAATAAATGACCTAATTAGTACTATAAAACTTAGCTATGTCATACAATTCGAGGAACGCTAAGTGGATAAATGCAGTAACGATATATTCGATTAGTTGGATTCATGTCTTTTAAAGATATGAGCTAAAACTAGATTGGGAGATTTGGTTATATATGGAAGGAGTACGAATGAACGTGTGAATTTGGGTGGTCAAAATTAGTGTCAAATATTAGAAATGAAAAAGAGCATCAATTAATTATATACTAAGGACAGAAGCTTTTCAAAAAGATCACTATGTAATAAATTATACATCTCTGCAATATTCAGTAGGCAACATGAGAATTCAATAAGGCTAAATTTAAAATAAGAATTATTATTATACATAATTAAGTAAAAGGAAAGTAGTTAAATTAATTTAAAGGAACAAAATATCAATTTAATTTACATTTTCATAAAAATGCAAAATAAATTAGTCATTTTTACCAAAAGCAAAATTAATTTACGTTTTCTGTGGAAATGCAAATCAGTTCTGTGTTTCAGTTTTTTTTTTATGTACAGTAAAAAAATGGATGGACAGTGATTGTGTTTTCCCCTTAGTTTTATATTCTACAGGTTAGTTAAAAATAGAATTTTATCATATCAGTAATATTTTTAATTTCTTTATTTGTCTAGATTTAAACGAGATTTGACTTTAATTGGACACAATGGAGAAAAGGATTCATGTAGCCGATCCACAGTAGTGGATAAAGACTTGATGTTGTTGTTGTTGTCTGCGTCGTCGTCTAAATTGAAATTAAAATAAAATTTAAGACATTAGTAATTATTCATAACATTCATTTTTTTAAAATATTTATTCCAATCTTTTATTAAATATTTAATAAAAATGAATGTTGAATATTAATATGTTTTCATTTAAAATCATATTTAAATTGTTATTAAATTAATTTATTTAAATACTTTATTTATAGATTTTATTTAATTAAAATTTAAATATATATTTAAATAAACTTAAAATATTCTGTATTTTTTATTCAAATAAGTCTAAATATTCTTAACTTTAAATTTATTTCACATTATTTTTTAAATTAAATAAAGTATAATCAAATTTAAAAAATATTTAATTATTAATTTCAAATTTAATTTTAATTAAATTTCTTTTAATCAAATTTGACATCTATTATGTCAAGTAATTTTCATTATTATAATTTTCAATATTCAGCCCCTCCAAAATTTTCAAATTTCAATTTTCAAGATTTACTAGATAGCATTTAAATTAACAGTAATGTTAGCTTGGCTTACTACATTGGCATTAGAAAAAAAAAACTATTAGAAGATAAATATGTTCAATTTATAAACACGTCAATTTTATAAAGATTAAAATAAATAACAAAAAATAAATAAATTTCTTCGAGTATAACATTAACACAATAAATTAAACTAAATCATCTAACTAAAATTTAGACAAATTTGAAAGAAATTAAAAATATGTAACTGATACAGTAAAAATTCTATTTGATGTTAAGAAAAAATTGCTAACCTGCAGAATAACGAAATTTAAAGGTGAAAGTGCAAATCTCTATGCATCAATTTTTTATTATTTTTACTGAAAACGCAAAACAGTCTGCATTTTACAAAAAACGCAAATTAATTTTGGGTTTTTGTTCCTTTTTTAATTATATTTTAAAAAAGTTTTTCTATACTTAATTGCACATAAATAATAATTATTTTTTTAAAATTTATCCATTTAATAAGCTAATAGTTGGGAGATGTACTTTTAGCTATTGCTCTGCTTTATTTGCTGTTATTCCCCATAGGCATCCCGTTGAATGATATGCTGAAGAAGCTTAGTTTATTTTTTGGTGGTGCTTTTATCTGCTCGCAGTTTAAAGATTGCACCATTCTCTTAGGGGGCTTATCGTTTTAATTGAGAGAAATAAAAAGGAAGTTAATAAAGACATTCTACAATTGTTTTTGAGCAAATAGATAGTTTCTGATGTAAAGGGTTTGGATTATTTGGTTCTGATTCTCGACCAAAAGATTACAAGTGTATTTTGATCCTATGCGTTACTTCAAGTTAACCTTTTTCAATGGATCACGGAAGCTACATGGTGTATCCTATTCCTTCCTCTGTGTGTGTGTGTGTGTTGCAGATGGATCTTGATACTCTCTTTGGGCAGATTTATATAACATGCTTAAGTCTTCACTCTAATCAGGTAATTTCTTTCTTTATATATCTGATGACGAAGTTATGTTTAGAGAATTTAAGGTCCAGGCCACTTCAATTTGATGGAAAGGTTAAGATGCTGATACAATATTGATAGGCCGGTTTCGGCCCGTCCAGGGCCGATTCGAGTATACTGGAGGCAGGCTAGTCCCGCCTCTCCTAATTATGCCGCCCACAATAGTGGGTCCCATTATTCCAATTAAGTTCAAATTTGAAAAGGAGGGGGCAGCTAGGGCTTGGGAGGGAAATTGGATTAGGAAAGTTTATGTATTAAGTAGTATGAGATGCTTTAGGGTTAGACATACTTGATTTGATTTGATTCTTTGGCGACTTGGGCTCTAGACTTCTTGTCTAGATATTTGGGAGAGATGATCCTCATCTCGAATTGAGGATCTCTTGTATCTTGTTTTCGTGCTTGTTTGATTTTGATTTTCTTACCGCAACCTTTTGTTTTGGGGCTGATTTCACCCAGATTTTGCATTATTCTTGCTGTTTTTCACCAATTTGTGATAGGTTTGCTTGCGAACTCAAGTATTACCCTTAGGGTTACTTGCGAACTCAAGTATTTCCTATCAAATATTTAACTTGAAGCTGTTACACTGAGAATTATGTTGCTTTCCACTGCAAACAAAAGATAGAAATGATAGAACTCAATTCAGAATGCCTTGTTTTCTTCAAGTAATAATGATGATGATATGTGTGCAGTGTTTTGTAACCTTTAGGCCAAAAGTTTTTTGTTATTATTCCTATGCACTCTCATGCTGTCCAAGCAGTAATAACCGAAGTTTTATCATTGGCATTCAAGGTACAAGTTGTTGTTGACCTCATCTTATGCAATTAGGGCTTTGTTTGAGTCACAGCTTTCTTACTGCTTCGTAAAGCAGCTTTTTATAATTTTTGTACTAAAAAACTGCTCTAAGAAGTAATAAAAAAGTCGTCCCAAACGAAGACTGTGTTGTTTAGAGTCAACTGAACTCATATTTTTATATGAATATTAATGTTTTTTCTTTCCCAAGTCAAGAACGGTTGCAGTGCACACAACTTTTTTTCATTGTTTTTAAATGATGCAGAAGGCTTCCCAGTTAACGGCTCATTCTACCCGTCTGAACGAAGCTTTCTCAATGGTCCGTCGCATGCCCATTATCAGGCCTTCTCTTCAAGCTGGTGCTGCCACCCAATGGGCTGCGCAGCCCCTTAGATAAGTTCAGGAACTATTTAGATAGGGAAAATGCTCTCTCTTCTATACGCACTTTTCTGAACGCATCACTGCGTGGCTGTGCTTTATTGGTTGAGATGATTCTGTAATTAGTTTGAAGGTTGAACGTCATCGTTTTACTGCTGTTTAATCTCTCTGGTTAGTTGTGATTTCCCTGCTGTTCCCAGATTCTTTGGTGAATACCTTGTTGTTTCACTATTGCGGGTGTGTTCATTCCAGGGGGCTGCAGAAACGTGCGGCATTCGGATTCGTCAGGAGGCGAATTTGAACGTGCCACGTTACTCAGGGCTCGGTGCATCCGGATGATGTGGCGCGTCCGGATTCTCCTCCGGACGGTTCGGATGCCGCACTTAATAATCTCTCCTGTACCTCTGCACAGACATTCAAGAGGATTGAGCCAAAAGTTGAATGTTTTATGTGCAAGGGAAGAACTAATTGCTTGGTGTGGGAACCTCTGATTCAACTGAAAAAAGCTAAAAATCAAGAACCTAACTTGCATAAGAACATCCACTTGAGGAGGATGATGATCAATCTCTCTTATAAATTCTATTCCTCCTCCCTCAAAGATTAATGATAGGGCTATCAAAATCAAATCACGGGTCGGGCTCGAGTTCAACTCGGAATTGATCTGGTATTGTTCGACTCGACCCGTTTTTGCAAATGGGTCATTTTTTCGGACCCGAACCTGACTCGCTTCGTGTATGTTTTACTAAAATTTTTTATTTAATTTGATTTATTTAAACCTAAATCTAATTAAGGTAATATTTACTTAAATCAATTAAAACGGGTCGAATAGCATTTACTTATTTCATAGTAATCTTTTAAAGTTCTCCTAAATCAATTAAAACGGGTCAAATCATATTGATTTTGGGTTTCCGTCTCAACTCGAATCAGACCCGATTTTTTAAACGGGGTGAAATTTCTAACCTGAACAAAAAAATTTCGGGTCATGTCAAATATTGACACCCATAATCAATGAGTCGAAAGAAGCATGCTTTTAAAATAGCTTCCTTATCATTACAATTGTCATAGATTATCAAGAAATAGCCAAAAGTAATAGTGTTAAGGAAAAATAAAGAAGAACCCTTCTAGGAGTAAGGCATAAGAATGAAATTCTTACATTTGCATTTCACACACCAAGTTACCCTACTATTGAATCTCCACTTCCTTCTCAAGTTTTTATTTCTTGTCCATGTTGAGAGTACTTCAAGCATGCTTTAGGGTTTCCATCGAAAAAATCAGACTTAAAACTTATATTATGCTATGATAAGTGTGAAATTGATGTATTAAGGTTATTTATTAAAAGGAAATATTAAGATTTGATTTTATTTAAATCTATATATGAGTGATTTTTAATTAGAACTCCTAAAAAGTCAATCCTAAACAAATTATGAACTTCATAAAATTATAAGGAGATAGATCTTCATATTGATGATGGTATTCCTTTGACTTTCAATGTGTTAAATTAAAATAATGATGTCATATAGGGATGAAAACAAGTCAAATCAAGCTGAGTAGGTACTTGTTCAATCTCAATTTCATTTATTAAAATCTTGTTTGAGCTTTGCTCGAGCTCAATTCAATCTTCAGGGATTATATTCAAACTTGATTCATTTAAAATCACGGTTGTTTGTTTCATTTCTGATTATCAAAATTTAAACAAGTAGCTCATTTGATAAAATAATTGAGCTTTTATTGGGCCAATTAACATAATTTTTATTTGGTTCGGTTGACCGGATGTTCCTCTGCATCCGGTCGGAGAATGTAATAATTGTTCCAATTAACAAGTAGTACTGTAAAGCTATTCGTTAGCAAGTCAAATGAGCCTTATCAAGCCTATTATTGAGCACAGTTTGTAAGCTAACTACATAAGTCTTATTAATTATATTCATGAGCAAATATATCGAGTAGTTTATTAGTTGGTTGAATGAGCCTTATATAAAGCTTATGAATGAGTAACATGCTGAATTTGAGTGAATGAGTGTCTGAAGTTTTATTTGGGACGGCTTTTTTACCGTTTTTTAAAACAGTTTTTTACTACAACAAATAGCAGTTTTATACTAGAAAGTTGCTTTAAGAAAGCCGTCCCAAACAAAGCCTAAGTTAACCATTAAAATAAGCTTTCTGACGAAAATAAATAAGAAGCTTGTGTCCATGAACAAAGTCAATCAACTAGAAGAAACTACTTTTGATCTAAAAGATAATGCTGAAGAAAAAATCGCAAGGTGCTTATCAAAAGTTTAGACTAAGCAAATGCGTAAGGACGACAAAGACAACGAGGAGAAAAACTGAGAAGGTTGAATAATCTCTATCTGGTGTACTACAGTGTAGTTTTTGAGAGTGATGTAGCAAAGAATCTTCAAAGTTAGAGAAAAAGGATGAGTTGTGGAAGAAGCTTATTCGTTTATGACAAGAAAGAACTCGCAGTACCCTCTAAGAATTCTCCAGCAAGCACCCGTTGCGTGCGAGTCCCACGGCAAATTATTGCATTCGGTCACGGGACGTGCAGAATAGGTTCGGATATCCAATAAAAACATGCAACGTCACCTGCGCTTTTGACTGCGCTTTAGATGCGCTTTACCTGCGCTTTTGACTGCGCTTTACCTGCACTTTACTTGCGCTTTACCTGCACTTTACTTGCGCTTTACCTGCACTTTACTTGTGCTTTACCTGCGCTTTTGACGCCCTTAATTTAAAATAATATTTTATTAATATCCGGACCTATCTTCGCGTCCGGTGACCGGATGCAATAATTTGCCGAGTCCCACAGCCCTCTTCTAGTTCATTGTTCACATGCCATTGGGAGGAGAGAGATTATTACGTGCGGTCACCGGACTGTCTGGAGGTCAATCAGGATGCGTTACGTCACCCGGTACATAGTGGTACATAATAACGATACAAGTGTATTGGTGGTGTGGAGTGTATTGATTTGTCTCCGGATAGCGTTCAGTGGCCGCACGTAATAATTTCACTTGGGAGGAATGGTCAGGAGACGTTTGTGGGAGCAAAAATAATTAAGTTTAATAATTAATAGTATTTAGTTAAAACATATTCATTACCACTTTTTTAAATGTTATAAATAAACAAAATACATTAATAATTAAGTATTAAAGAAATTTATATCAATTATAAAACAAGTAAATAATCGAGTCTTAACTTAGTATATTATTGAATAATAATGAGTTTTTTATCAAGCCCTAATTGAGCTTCTTAATGAGCTTGTTAACAAGTTTTAAATAATATTTTTCTTGGTCATTTAAAATCAAATTGTTCAAGATTGATCATTTTTCATTTAAGCATTTATAAAAATGTTCAAGCTTGTTCGATTAATTAATTAAATGATTATGAACAAAGTCTAATTGAAGGGGGGTTGTTCATGTCATGGGGAATAAGAGGACTGAAGGAAGATTGGTCTTGTATGATGGTCATGAGATTGAATGAATAATTCTTAATTACTTGAGTTTTCTATCATTCTCATATGCTTTTCATTTCAAATAGAAGAACTACTCGAGTGTTTAGTTTAAGGCCTTTAAAGGACCTGTAAGGAAAGAGGGAGATTATTACGACGATGGACTATTTATGGAGGTCTACTTCAGGTTATCCATGTTAAGCCACTAATTTCCTTAAAGAGACCGCATCTTAAATCATTCATAGCATTCTGTTATTATTCGGATAGAGATCTAGCTAGGGTCACTAACATAATTATAACTTGAATCAAATCACTCTTATTATCCTATATTACCATATTTGTGCTTAGTAGTAATTCAATAACTATTTGGAATAATTTTTTTTACCAGTTATAATCTCAAATTAGAGAGGATCATCCTTTCCTAAAATTGGAGAGAAGTTATGAATGCAATATTAAAGAACCAATACAATTGTTTAGCACTTTATCAAGAAACATCATTGATTAAAATGATGATAAGTGTCAAATTTATGCATCATTGAAGATTGTTTTATAAGAAATAGTCACTTACCATCACATGAGAGAGAGAGAGAGAATATTTTTATATTATCTATTTTCTTTCTAATTAATTGAGGTGGATCACATCCCTCCATTGATATGCCATGAAATCTTATAACTTCTTCGCTTAGAAGAAGAGGATAAAGTTGATCGAGCGAGATAGGTGTGAGCATTGTTCGTATCGCCGTTTTGAAATATTGATACGATGAAGGAAGCCCGTTGAGAATGTACAGAATGATATCTTCTGTGTCGACAATTGCTTCGGCAGTTGCGATCTGATCGACGAGAGACTTGATCTCGGTGAGGTATTGCGTCATGTTTGAGTTCTTGAACGAGATGTTGTGAAGTTCATTCTTTAATTGAATGACCTTGGATCTGTTGGTCGATTGAAACCGGTTATGTAGCGCAAGCCAGATTGATGTTGTTGTCTCCAAATGGATCACATACGGAAGAACCTGAGCGGAAAGCGTAGAACATATTGATGCGGCAATGTTCTGTTCCGTGAGATGCCATCGGGAGAAGAGGGGATTAGGGATAGACGTCCCGTCTTCATTTGGGACGGTCGACAGTGGAGGACCGTGGAGGACCGTAGGTATGATCAAGAAAGCTTTGAAAACCATTAGCGCCGACGATCTTAAAAACCTGCGACCGCCACAGAGAGTAGTTGTCAGCAGAGAGAGGGATCGTGACAACGTTCTTGATGTTTGATACAATAAACTTCAGATTGGAGGGGATGATAGGCTCAACGGCCTCTGCCATTGATACAGAGGAAGGAGCTTCCATCTTGGAGGAAGCGGAATGAGCCATGATCAGGATGTCAACCTACTACTGATACCATGAAGAAACCAATGGATCAAGAAGGGAAAGTATTTCTTATGAAAAGCAATAAAGAGAATGTATTTTCCTTGTCTTTACACGACAGCTATTGATCCCTATATATAGATACCTGAAGGTACAGTCAGGGTATAGGGAACCAATTACACATTTACGCGTCATCCTAAATGCATATAGAAAAACAGAAAGTTATTTTTTGACACTTTTGTATTTCCGGTTCTAATAAGAATAACGAATAAATCTATTAAATCAAATCAGGCCATTTCATTGAAAACCATTTAAGATCAAAGTGAACCAAATTGAAACCATGAAAATAAATTCTTAATGATTTAATATTTGAAATAAGACAATGAAGTAACTCCACCGATTCGACTTAGGCTTCGTTTGGGATGGTTTTTCTTACTGTTTCTTAAAGCAGTTTTCTAGTACAAAATTTTTAATTTTTATATCGAAATGATGTTTTAAGAAGCAATAAGAATGTTGTTCCCAACGAGGCTTTAGGCGTTATTTGGGACAACTTTCTTATTATTTTCTAAAGTACCTTTCTAATATAAAAATTTATTGAACTAAAATTTTTTATATTAGGAAGTTGCTTTAGAAAGCAATAAAAAAAATAGTCCCAAGTGAAGCCTTAGTTTAGTTTTGTTCGCTATATGATTATGTTAAATGATTAGTTTGATTCGATTTTTAATACAAATGGATTCAAATTGAATCCTTCACGCTCCTAATAGAAAGTGCATACAATATAATTCTTTTTATTTAGAAGAATTGAGTAGGTTATCCTCACACATCTCTCACCATCCATTAGAACATTTAAATGATTAAAGAAAATTTAACTATTTTTTATATTACCAATGATTTTTAATTACTTCAGATCTTAGCATTTTGATGGATGATGATTGATATTTGATGATAATCATTTGGTGAATTGAACTACAAAATATCTAATCAAATGCTTTAATTTGCCTAAGAAAGAGGAGCCAAATTAAGCTACAAAGATCTAAAGAAATTTAGTGAGAGACTTCAATGTAACTATATAGAATGTACGTATAATTGAACTAGTGTAGTTAGCCATAGTCGAACTTAGAGTCGGCTGCTAGTCGAAAACTTCAAATAAGTTGTAGACTATCATATGAAAAACATCTAATAATTGGATAATTCTCTGGTTGAGTGGCCAAATCTTTTGGGTGAACATCCATTGTGAATAAGTACCTCGATAATTTTAGAGTCTCTTGAGTAAGTTCGATAGCTTAGTATTATAGGATGAATAAGAGCCAACTCTTGGGTGACTTAATGAAATTTGACTTTGTGCAACATGAAGATTTAGGTTGGTTCAGACCAAATCCCATTTAGGTTTCGTTTGAGATAGTTTTCTTACTGTTTTTTTATTTCAGACCGCGAGCATAATTTTTATTTGATCATTATTTTTTCAATATTTTTTAAAAAATTATAATAAGAAATTGATATCTACAACATTTCTAAAAAATTATTTTATGTATAATATTTTTATAAAAAAACTATCTAAAATGAAGCTTTAAAATCTTATAATAATTTGATAAATTAGATGTGATATTGCATGATCTATAACATCTAACAACAAGTTTTTCATCCTACATAATAATGCAAATATAGACTATATAGTCATTCATCTTAACGTAAATTTGCTTGGATGGCTACCCATGCGAGAGATTATTAGGTGCGGTGTGGGGACGGGGAGAACCGTCCGCATAAGCATTGTGTACCTAGCTAGGTACCACTCGGTACCGCTGGGTACTGCTAGGTATTCAATACTTGTGGGGACGGTGCACATTCCGCACCTAATAATTTGGGTTTTCATAGGATGGCATCCCCTCCATCACCGAATATTCTATAGAACACACGTGGCGTCATTGGAACCGCGGAGATTCTCCACCGACCCACTTCTCCTATTTTAGGAGGGACGACGGAGGGCTTCCGATCGAACTGTCGAACTCCATGGAAGCGGTGTCGGTGATGGGGCTGGAGAGCCTCGGGGGACTGATACTGGAGACGATCTTGTTGAAACTGGGGCCTCGAGATGCGAGCGCGGTTGCCTGCGTCAGCTCCAGGCTCCGGGTAGCCGCCTCAGAAGAGAATCTTTGGCTCAATTTCTGTGACTCCGACTTCGGTCTCTCATCACGCGAGGACCCCCAAGGAAACCCTTGTCCTTCTTTCAAGGTCCATATATCCCTCTCCATTTCGGTTTCTATCTCCATCTTTTCCCAATTTGGTGGTAAATTGTCGCGAAAGAATTTTAAGTTAAAAACTCGCATAGGTAAATAGGGATTTTCTCTAATATAGGGTGAGCAGAGCCACCCATCCTATCTATTTTTCAACCACTGCATATTGCGTTCTTCTAGCAAAGATCAGCATTGTTTGTCTTTGAGTGGCTTGAGAAGAAAATGCTTAATACTTCCACAATTTACAGCTAATTCCTGAAGGGGTGCTCTGTTGAAGTTTAATTATGTCTACTATAGATTGGTAGTTTTAAATGATTAATAGAATTTATGCCAATTCATAGTTGTTATGCATAATGTTTATATATGCTTTCTGTTTGGTATGGATGAAGCTAATTTAAGGACATCTACACAATAGAGTTAATCCTAATGAAGGGGGATGGTTGATTACCATTGTTGTTGATTGTTTAAATAAATGTGATTAAATACTCCATCCTTCAAGCAAGATAAATGTCACATCTTGTATCCGAAAGACGAGATCAACTGCAACTCTTGAGATAAATCTCAAAAGTTGAGACCATGGCGCGCGCTATTTTGCGCCATTGACAACTATGGCCTGTGCTTATTGGCTTGTTTCTGGTATTTGGCATTCTGTTGGGCGATCCGAGTTTGTACTTGTTGGTGTAGTAGTTTAATCTCTTCACTGCGCTGCTCTCCTTCCTGGCTGTAAGAGGAATTCGACAATGCCGGTAATAGATCTAAAGGAGTCAGTGGATTATTACCATAAACAATTTCAAACGGACTGTGTCCCGTCGACTGGTTGGGGGATCGATTGAATGCGAACTCAATTTGAGGGAGAATGAGATCCCATTGCTTCAAGTTCCGGCCTACAAAACAACGCAGTAGATTCCCTAAACTGCGGTTAACAGTTTCAATCTGTCCATCCATTTGCGGGTGGGCGGCGGAGCTGAACTGGAGTTTAGTGCCTAGCTTCCCCCATAGTGTTCGCCAAAAGTGACTGAGGAATTTGACGTCTCGGTCGGAAACAATGGTTCTCGGAATGCCGTGAAGACGTACTATTTCTTTGAAGTAGAGGTCACCAATGTGGGTGGCATCCAATGTTTTGCTGCAGGCGACGAAATGAGCCATCTTCAAGAATCTGTCGACGACGACCATCACTGAGTCCCTATTTCGCTGGGTCCGTGGAAGTCCGACGACGAAATCCATGCTAACATCATCCCATGGTCGAAGAGAAATAGGTAAGGGAGAGTATAGTCCGACATTGGTGAGCGATGTTTTCGCTCTCTTACAGGTTTGACAGCTTCGAGTATATCGGCCCACGTCCTTCTTGATGGATGGCCAATAGAATCTTTCGGCTGTGAGTATCAGCGTTTTGTCACGACCAAAGTGGCCTGACAATCCTCCATCGTGACACTCGGAGATCACGAACAGCCTAAGGGAACAAATAGGAAGGCATATACTGTTATGCCTGAAAAGATAACCATCCTTGATAAAGAATAATTGATACGGGGCGTGCTGGCAACGCTCCCAAATCTTTCCAAAGTCCGGGTCGGTGGGATACAGATCTTTGATGGCTTCAAAGCCAACTAGTTTCGACTGAACTGTTTGCAGTAAAGTGTAACGCCGACTAAGAGCATCGGCCACCTGGTTATCCTTCCCAGCCTTGTACTTGAGCAGGAATTGAAATGCCGCCAAGAATTCTGACCACGTGGCATGTCGCCCTCTTAGTTTCTTCTAGCATTCTAAAAATTTCAAGGCGGCGTGATCTGTGAACAGCACGAACTCTTTGCACAGTAAGTAGTGGCTCCAGTGGTGCAAGGCTCTCACGATGGCATAGAACTCTTTATCGTACGTCGAATATCGTTGCCGGACCTCGTTAAATTTCTCACTGAAGTATGCGATGGGCTGACCTTCTTGACTGAGGACCGCTCCTATGCCCAGGTTGGAGGCATCACACTCCACTTGAAATAGTTTGTTGAAATCGGGCAGGCGTAAGACAGGAGTAGAAGTCATTTTCTGTTTTAACTCGTTGAAACTTTCCTGTGCCGCAGTTGTCCAATTAAAGACGCTAGACATCAATAATTCGGTGAGAGGAGCTGCAATGGAGCTAAAGTTAGCTATGAACCGGCGATAAAACGATGTCAGCCCGTGAAACCTGCGCACATCAGTGAATGAACTGGGGACAGGCCATGTGAGAATGGTGGTGATCTTGTCTGGATCTACTTCAATGCCAGTGGCGGAGAGAATGAATCCCAAGAACCGAATCCGGCGATCCAAAAACTGGCATTTCTTTGGGTGGCAATACAGTTTTTGTTCTTCCAAGATTTGCAACACCTGCTCCAGATGCCGAAAATGTGTATTCAAGTCGGGACTATAGACTAAGATGTCGTCGAAATAGACGATTACAAACTTGCTTAGCAGGGGTTGAAAGATTTGATTCATGAGGCGCATAAAGGTGCTGGGCGCGTTCGACAACCCAAATGACATGACCAGCCATTCATTTAGCCCATCGCGCACTTTGAAGGCAATTTTCCATTCATCTCCTTCCCGGACGCGGATCTGATGATACCCGCTCCTTAAGTCAAGTTTGGAGAAAATGGTGGCTCCTTGTAGCTGGTCAAATAGATCGTCGATGCGGGGAATAGGAAATCGGTAGCGCACCGTGATCTTGTTGATTGCGCGACTGTCAACGCACATCCGGAAGGATCCATCCTTCTTTGGCACGAGCAAAGCTGGTACTGCACAAGGACTTACACTGGGCCGTATATATCCTTTGGCCAGCAATTCTTCCACTTGCCGCTGTAACTCTTGATGCTCGTTTGGTCGTAGCCTGTAAGGTGGGCGGTTTGGTAAGGTGACTCCAGGTTGGAGATCGATGGCGTGCTGAATTTCACGCAGGGGAGGTAGTCCAGTCGGTAGTTCTTCTACCCAGACCTCCCGGTATTTGTCAAGTAACGGTTGGAGCTCTTTCGGGACAGGATTAATGCTCTTCTCAGCTTCTTTGATCAGTACGAGGTATCCTCCTTTCGCCTGTTGGATGGCTTGATTGCATTCAGTTTGAGTTACCAACAGCTGTTCATGCATAGCTTCAAGTAGATGTTTAAAAGGTAGGAGCACAATGGTTTCGTGGCCTTGCATCAACGTATAAGTGTTGGCCTCCCCATCATGTACTGTCTTTCGGTCGAACTGCCACGGTCGTCCCAGAAGTAGATGACAGGCGTCCATGGGCAATACATCGCACCATACTTGATCCTTGAACCTGCCAATAGAAAACTGAACAAGGCATCGTTTTGTTACCTCAATGGTGTTGCCTTTCTGAATCCAGGATAATGCATAAGGTTGGGGATGCTTCTCGGTCGAAATCTGCAATTTTTCCACCATAGTGCACGAGGCTATATTCTCGCAACTGCCGCTGTCAACAATAACTTGACAGACTCAATCTTGGACGGTACATCTAGTACGAAACAAACTGTGGCGTTGCTCCTGCTCTTCTTTCTGATTGCTCATCAACAATTTTCTAAGGACTAACAGGTTTCCATCATCAGCCTCAATAATAGTGGGACTACTCGCGGTTTTTGATTCCACGGTATTTCCTGTTGGGAGCTCCTCGCTGGGGTCGGTATCATCTTCTAGGATAGTGACGATTCTTCTCGTGGGGAAGTTGGAGGCAATGTGGCCAAATCCCTGACACTTGAAGCATTTTCGCGCTGGAGTGCTACTGCCCATGGTTGGAGAGGTCCAGGTCCTACCCGGAGATTTCTCTTGCGGTCTTTCTTGCGATCCGGACGTTCCACTTTTGAATGACTGAGTAATCTTTTCTCCTGCCAGTTCTTTGAATCTGTTTGCGGTTCCCTTAGAAGAGCTCTGTTGTCGTTCTACTTGGAGAGCTAGATTAATAGCATCCTGAAGAGTCCAATGAGGCTGCAATTGAACTATGTGGGCGATTGCAGGTTGAAGACCTTCCAAGAACCGGGCGATGGTGTTCTCCACGGGTTCGTTGAGATCGCATTTCAGCGATAGCTGTTCAAATTCAGCTACATATTCTTCGACCGACCGGTGGTGCTGTTGAAGGCAGTGAAGCCTCAAAAATAAATTCCGGCGATGATAGTCGGTGATGTACTTACGTTGCAACTCCTTCATTTTCTCCCAGCTGGTAATCTTGCTTCGCCCTTCCCTTGCTTGGTTGCGTTTTAAATTCTCCCACCAAAGAGAAGCTCCTTTCTTCAGTTTAATGGCTACAATCTTAACAATCCGGTCTGCCGGAATTTCTTTGAACTCAAGAACTCGCTCGACCGTATGCAACCAATCCAAGAATTCATCAGGGTCCATTCGTCCTTCAAATTCGGGTAGATCAATTTTAATTCCACTGTCAGCTCGATCTGGGGGACGGTCTTGCCGTGGCCTTCTTGGACGAACTTCATCATCGCTTGAAGTTTCTTGATGGAAAGGATTAACCTCTTCTTCTTCCAGTCGACTTCCGGCCTCTTGCTGGTCCCTTCTTGCAAGTTCTTGTTGCAGCCTCTGAACTTCCCTTTGCAAATCTTCAACCACCATATCCCGCACCGGGCGCTGGCGGTTCCTCCGTGGCGGCATCTTGCCAGCTCTGATACCAGATGACACCGGCTCCGACTCCTCGAAGGGTGGCTGCTGGTGACTCTGAGCTGGATGTCCCCGGGTCTCTGCTTACTCCTTCGCCTGGTAGCTTGAGAATTCGAAGGATTTCTAATGTTTGTAAATATAAAAAATTGAGGCTGCAAGGAGAACTTTTTTGCTTAATGAAATTTCAAGTATTTTTTAATCTTGTTTTCATGGTTGGACATCGATTTTATTGTGTCGGTATAAGAATGACTCAATTTTTGTGGGAAGTTATTTTCTTATATCGATGTGAAGTTTAGGTCATAAAATGGATGAAATTTTGACTATTTTTGCCAATTAACTGGTTGAATTATTAAATAAGCAAAATCAAATGTGTGAAAGATCAGCCAATTTAAGTTGTGAATTGAAAATTTTGAAACCAATGAATTCATGCACATAAACTTGTAATTATAATTAATCATAATGATGAATCCTTTCACCTTAATGTTTAACATGACTTGAAGTCATGAAAATTATCATGGGAGGAATAGTCAAGATACGTGTTAAAAAGTGTGAATGAAGTTTATAATAGTCATAGATGTGAAAATTTTGTTGTAGATGATGACATAAATCAAATGAAAAAATTGGAATATCTAATTTTGTTGGAAAAATAAATCCTAAAATTTTTAATTGGGTATTAGACATGAATATTTCTCTTGAATGATAAACAATTGGATGAGCATCATGTGATATTTATAAAACTGAAAGCTAAAATGTACTAAATGTGTATGGAGAAATGAAGGGATAGTTTGAGAAGAGAATCTATAATTATATAGGTTGAAATGAAAGCGCAACTAAATGAGAGGTATTTTCACTTATCATAAAATTTCAGTAGTTCTTAATATTGTGTGCTTAGTTATATTTTAATTTCTTCTAGTGCGATGAAGAGCGAACAACAAATTCTTGAGGCAGTGATTTTTTTTATTGATGTGTGTTTTGTTATTTTTATGTTTGGCATCTCTTAGCTTGCTATCTTTTGCCTTCATAATTTGGTCTTGGTTTTGCAAATGTGATTGATTCAAGTTATAAATAATGCAATTGGTTTATAATTATGGCTTAATTCTTGATTGAGATTTGATTTTTTTAATGTTTTTCAAATTTTCACTGAATTTCTTTGATTTAAGGGATCATTAAATTATCATTTAACATAGAATTCTCTTATTTTTTTTATTTATATAAAAAGAAAACAAGTGTGTTTTAATTCGCATCAAAATTATGAATTCCAATTTTGATTTTTTTTTCATTTTATCCCTTACATCATTTAGTCTTATCAAGTACTCTAGACTCTTAAGATGTTTGGTTCACATATTTAGTGCTAACTCCACTTTACTTTTTAGATCAATTTATGATATAACTCATTATTTTATTTTATTTTCTATTTCTAAATAATTTTCTTTAAAACCTCATATAAGAATAATGTTTTCAGCTTTCCTTAATGTCTTCATCTTTAGTTAAAATCATATTTCCTGCACTTTTAATGGATTTAACTTGATCACAAGTATCTAAATCTTTTATCTTGTCTTAGCTACTCTTTTTTATTCTGTCTTTACACACACACACACACACACACATAACTAGTCCTTAGTGTAAGTCTTCTTATGGAAGTCTATTTTCCATGGTGAAGGAGGTGATGGAATTAGTTCTTGTATATCTCATATTAGCATATGTAGTCCAAACTTAAGAAGTAGAATATGAAGACTTTAGAAGTGTGAGTCTTTATGCGTCATATATCTTTTTCCATATGGTACTATGGAAGATTTCAAAGTGTTTAACATAACACAATTTTTGTTTTTAACAAGAAGTCAATACTGTTGAAATTTGAACAATAAATTATATATATGGAGAAGAATCTAAAAATATATATCAAAATTTATGGAGCAATATATTCTTCATCTCAAATTTAGGCTCAAGAATCTGCTAAGCCACAACCTTATGATTAGGCTCAACAAGAGGCTTAATTACTCATTATCATCATTAATTGTTGGAGCAATAACTCTTGTGTTCTTAGTTATAATAATCTTGCTTACGAGCTTGGTAAATTATGTTAATAAATTTATAATTGTCAACTTAAAAGTAAATAAGAAGATTTTGGTAGCTTCATAGGATAAGTTTTATGTTTGTGATGTATCTCTTAGGCAATAATAATCTATGCATTCTACGCATCAATTTTCTTGTTTCTACAAATGTCATGGTGGTGTGGGAGGGTGATGTTAAAAAATTTATAAAATTTATATAACTTTGGTATTCGGGTAGGAGTCGTACTAGAAATGGTGTAGGTGTCATTATAGATAAGAGTTTAAAGGATAATAGAATTGATTTAATGCCAATTCAATGACGAGACTTCGATTTATTTTTCTTCCACCTTGAAATTGTGTTATGCAACAAGTGGGAGAGAGAAACCCTTGTGGAATCCTGGTATGCATGCGGGTTAGAGGGGATGGAGCAATCTGAAAGACATTTTTCTCAAAATTGGGAACAAAGAATCTCATGTGAAGTAAATTGGTAGGACAGAGAGTCTGTGGGCGGGGGAGAGAGAAAAGAGAAAGAATAAAAGAGGGAAATGCTATAATATTATAGAAATAATCTTCTTTTATTGCATGACCAGCCCTTGCCTTTCACTACTGCATTAAGTTTGTAATTTGGCGGTTGTCATTCCTAGCTAACCCTCATCTATTTCTCATCAAGATCAGACTAGGTTGTGGCACATAGCTAATGGGGAGCACCCTAACAATGCAAACATTCAAATTTGAATTCATTTTGTCAGTTTTGAAAATAAGAGTTATAATACGCCATTCCTAGTATCAACCCTTAAAGTTTCTCATGCGGTTTAAGGCAAAAATTGTTGACAATGGCATTATTAGAGTTTCCAAAATCAGTAGCATGTGAAAGATGCTGTGTAGGTCAACTTCACCTTTGCTTGCACCTTTTCATGCTGACAAAGTGCAGATCAAGTGGTCTTCTTTCTCATGCACTTCGCATCAGAATATCAGAATTTTCCTTGTTTATTTTTCTTGTTCTAATTTTATTTGATTTATTTTAACTTCCTGATGCGTTTCTTTTCATTGAAATTATTTTTTTCTAAGAATAATACTGGGTAATGCATCTTCTGTCACATATCTAATGTCATTAAAGCTACAGGCTGCTTATGAGAAATGGTTGAAATCCTTTTTAATTTATCCACTACCTCTTGTAAAGAGGGCTAAACAATGTTGGAGTTCCATTAGAAGCTGGATGGCTATTAATTTTCCAGAAGCTAACGATACTTTGAGGAGGGGCGCTACTGAAGCTGAGATAAAAAAGGCTGAAGAAAAGCTAGGGGTGAAGTTTCCCCTCCTGACAAGGATTTTGTACCGTTTCTGTGATGGTCAGGACACGGTGGCTTTGGATAATTCACAGTACAGGCGCTTAGCTCCTTTAGGTATTATAGGGGGTTATAAATTCTACGATCACTTGGTTAATTTGCACTTATTGCCTTTGTCCCAAATTGTCATGGAAACCAAGGAATTTGGACGGATGATGGGTTTTAAAAGCAAGAATATTGTAGTGGCAATATCCAACTACAGGGACAAGCTCTTCTTTCTCAATTGTGGCAGTGGTCAACTCTATGTTGGGACTAAAGATCTGTTAAGTTCAGGTGAAATGATGCCTTGTGTACCTTCAACACTAGTTATGCCAAGGCCTGGTGATGCAGATGGTTTACCGCAGGGGGCATTGATGTTGTGGTTGGAAGAGCATAGCCGACGTCTTAATAGTGGTATAATTCTAACTCGAATGTTAGGAAAAGCTCGAACAATCTCTTTATATCCTGAAGCAGCTCCTCAAACTCCTCCTGTAAGAAGACCAGAAACAATCAACTTATATCCAAATGCTCCTCCTACCTATTCAACTGCTGTTACTAATGGTGTTAAGGTAATGGAATCTCTAAGACTCAGGCTTCGTTTGAGACGGTTTTTTTATTGCTTCTTAAAACAGCTTTTTAGTACAAAAGTTAAAATTTTTGTACTTAAAAGCTGCTTTAAGAAGAAGCAAAAAAGCTATCTCAAACGAAGCCTCAAACTACGGTATGTTGGTTACTTATTTGAAATGATACTAGTGCATATGGAAAGTCATGCTAATACATTGAATTTTCAATGCCAGCATTTTGTTTTTGTTACCTGATTACATTGAAACATTCAGTCCTATTGGTAAATGGGATCCATGCAATTTATATATTATTCTGATTTGATCAAACTTACCATCTTCGATTATGTAGAATTTCAATAACAAAAGAAATAATTCATATGCTATCTTGTTCTTGGAGATTAATTAGGACTTGTGGCTTCCTTTTCTTCATTAGGAAATTAGGAAGCAACTGGTCACAAGAGAAAAAACACTCTTGGGTAGGTTTATGCTTATTACAAACTAAGCATGTAATGTAATCTTCATACTTAAAAAATATATCCATACCTTTCTATGCAAATTACTGATGCTCCTGGGTTGTACAGCGATGATTAAAGATCTTATATGTTGATTGCTTCAGGAACTTGAAAATTGTTCGGAATTTTTTAAAATTATCTTGATCGTTTGTAAAGTAGATGTGGCTGACATGGTCAAATTCTGTAGAATGTCCTGTCAAACAACAGTAGCCGGTGCCTATAGTATGTCAATGTGCACATCACTAAAGTTGGCATATTATCTAATTGATCAAGATGGATTAGAGAGTAATTTCATTAGACCAAAATTTTTTCCAGATAGACTTTTTTTTTTAGAAATTTAGTGTAATTGGAAAAAAATGTCAATGATATCAATAAAAAAAATATTAAATCAACAAAAACATCTACATTTTGCAATGAAACAGTTAACTCTAACATATTTCATCTTTCTAAAAACTCGTTATTTTGCAACAAAATATATGAATCCAATGGAAGCAAGTTTGACATAAATAATATTTTAAAAAAATTGAATCCACAAATTTAACCTCAAACCCAAGCTCCTTCTCCAGGTCCAATTGTTTTACTCATCTGCAACACAATTAGGTGAGGAATAGTGTGATATAAGAAAAAGAAAGTTCACTAATACTTGTAAAATCTAAATACCTTTAAAGTTAACTTTAGTCATCAACTTTTATCACATTTTCTATTATCTTTTAAATGAGGGACCAATTTGGATCAATTTTATAGAATTGAAAGACTCAAATGGAGATAGATGATAAGGATTAAATTGGCCAGACACAAATAGACAGTGGGGATAATTTTGGACTTTTCCTTATTTATTAGGATGAACATTACCCTATTTGTTCATAATGTATAATATTACTTACTTTGTCTTTTTTTGTCTCTTCACTTTTGTTCAATTTAATCTCCCATTGTGATGATATTACCACTTGTTTGTCAAAGATCAAATTTAACTTACCCAGACTTTAATCATGACAACCTAGGTACGTGCTTCTGCAATTTTTGTGCCTGAACTTTCTTCTATTGATGGAGAGAAGCAGTACTATTTTTCCTACTCAATCCGCATGTCACTAATTCCAGACGGATGCATTTTGAATGGCGTATACTATTCTTCTTGCCAACTTTCTTCTCGACATTGGATCATTAGATCCAAGGACGATATCATAGATGAAGTGTCTGGAGAAGCCGTGATAGGCTTGGTAAGTCTCAACATAGCCATCTTTCTCTCTCTTATTTTTACAACTCTCTTAACATCTACTCATCTTTTATATTCGAAAAAAATTCTTTCACTGATTAATTCTTTTACACTTGTCATGTATTATCATTAAATACAACTGAGGTTTTGTTTGAGTCGGCTTTCTTACTGCTTCTTAAAGCAGGTTTCTAGTACAAAAATTTAAATGTTTGTACTAAAAATTTGTTTTAAAAAGCAGTAAGAAAACCGTCCCAAACGAAGCCTGAATGTAAAAGACTTATAACCAAACTACAAAGCTTTTACTAATATAGTACAACTATTGATCATCCAATAGTTGTATTGAGGAATAGGATATAACTCTAGAAATGAATGATACGTTTAATAAAATTAACTTCATTGTGATGCAAATTATACCACGACTAACTTAGTAACATTTTTTTATTATATTTAAGCATTTGTGTGTGTTACTATTAATCTTTATGTTATTCTTATGGCTGCAGTACCCTCACCTGATGCCAAATCAGAACGAGTTTGTGTATGAAAGCTGCACTCATCTGCCTGATGCTTTTGGGTCTATTGAAGGTTCTTTCACATTTGTTCCTGGAAGGTACATCTACATTCAAAAGAAGCCCATAGCCCTCTCTCTCTCTCTCTCTCGTTTGGGGCAGCTTTTTTATTGCTTCTTAAAGCAGCTTTTTAATATAAAAAAATTAATTTTTAAACTAGAAGATTATTTTAAGAAGCAATAAAAAAGCCGTCCCAAACAAAGCCGTGATATGTTCTTTCTCATTATTATCTTGTTCTTTTTATGGTGTAGTTTGGCTCATCCGGAAGGGCCATCTTTTAAGGTCAAAGTGGCACCGTTCACCCTTGAAGTCCCTGAATATATTTTCTAACCTGACTTCTAGAAAATTCTGAGAGGTCGAGATCTTTATCAACTAAATTAACGGACACTCATACGCTATACTTATTGCTTTGTATTTATGCACTATAAGAAACTCAAGATTATCACATAAGTTTTGTAAATAGTGTTGGTATGCTCCAAGTTTATATTACCTTTTATGTGGACATGCATGTTCTTTTTATGGTGTTGAAGAAATATGTTTAATAGTTTATTTTGGACAAAAATATCTTCACTGTAGAAATAGAATTGAACAGCTTTGTGAGAGCAGTTGTACAAATTTTAGAATAAGAAGCTGCTCAATCCGTTCTGTCCCATCTCCAACAATAATGTTCAATCATGGTTGGGATAAGATTCGAGCAGGGTTCGAATAATGTTTGAATAATGTTCGATCATTGTTTTAATATGTTATGATTTGCATTATTTTGCTATCATTGTCTTTAATAAAATGTACTCATTTGAGTTATTTGTTATGTATGTAAATGTCCACAATAATCATACATATATAGAGAATGTAAAGGAGAAAGTTGTAAGATAGTTTGAAGTTAATGATCTGATCTCATGGTCATTTCCTAAACTGATATTCTTTAAGGCTTTGATTTATCAATTGTTACAAATGATGGCCGATGATGATGGGAATGAGAGTTTAACATTGGTGGGAGCAAAATTAGCATTTGGGGTTTATTGAGCATTGTTTGAGAATCCATTAACTTTAGGAAAATTTCAATAAAAGGATGAATTTGAAAAGATGAAGTTAGTGCATAGTGTGAGATAATGTTTGGAAGTTATGTTTATACTATATTGTAGATGATGTTGATTCTCTTGATAATGGACCGTTTGCTTGACATTTTGAATGTTTCAGTGTTATCAGAATTTAGTGATTTTGGGCTTGTTGCATTCGTCTTGTTGAGCTGCTCGATTCGAATATAAACATGTCATGTTTGAAAACGGTTTGGTAATCCAAATTATGGTTTGAACTTTTCAAATGTGCTTCGGATCTTTGATTTGGACTTATTTGAGCTCGGATTGAGTCGAATTTGGTGTCGTTGGGTTCGTATTTTTTAGACGTTCAGTTCGACTGTAAGTTTTCTGAAATTGGTGTTCGAATGATCCCAATTTTAATTTCAAAATTTTCCAACTTGATTTTGCCTTGAGATTAATGCCCCCATCAAGATAATATCTGTAATAAATAAAAAAGGAAGACTCCTTCAGGACAGTTGTCCTAACTCCTAAAGAAGCCCTTACAATCCAACAGAAATTCATAGTTCATTTTATAAGTGCTTCATTATATTATTAGAGATGCTAGGCCTATTTAACTAGAAGTGTCAATTTTTGACACGAACTGAAACACTACCTGAAAAGATTGACCCGTTTTTTACCCAAAAATCGAAAGATTGATCCCATTTTGACCTAAAAACTAGCAATTTTGAGTCAATTTCGGGTCATTCGTGTCGGGTCGGGTTGACCCGGACCCAAATCGGGTTGTGTTCGGGTCCGGAAACCTGCGGGTCAGATTCTGATTGACCCGAATAGTGCCGGATCAATTCTAGATTCAACCCGTATCCGACCCGTTGACCGAATTGACACCCCTGTATTTAACAACAAAATCAGATATACCACAACAGAATCGCGATTCTCTTCTCAAAATAATATAGATAGAAATGGGGATAACTGTATCGAAGAAGGTGGAAAAAACCCTAATCTCTTCCCCAAACTTCACCGAGGCATGCGAACTCGTCTACAACGACTGCCTCGCCGAGTCCCAGCACGCCTTCGCGGGTGTTAAACCCTACCAGCTCGCCGGCGCCGCCGCCCGCCTCCACGAGACGCTCTCCCGCTCCCTTCCCTTCATCCGACGCTGGGTCCAATCGCCGCCGCCGCGCGAAAAGGTCGACGCAGCGTTTCGCAGCGTAATAACTGGTTCCTCCGCGGACGAACTGTTGCTGCCGGAGTTCAAGGCCTTCGCGACCGAGCTCTTCCGTGACGCCGTCATCGCCGGTGCCGGCGGAGCGGTGGCGCGTGGGATTGAGATTGGGATGGTGGGGATTGCAGGGGCGGGGATAGTGAGCAGGACAGGGGTGGGGATTGTGATGAAGGTGATGGGGATTTATTCAGTGGGGATTGCTGCTGCTGTTTACTTCAGCTTGGGGTGAGGATTTGGATGGTTGCTATTGGGTAATGGATCTTCATGAATTTGTTTGTGGAGCTTTTTACCCATGAAATTACTCAGGATAATTATATCCATGTTCAAGAATTGCAAAGTTGTTTGTAATGGATCTGCAAGGTTAGTTATTCTCATTGTATAATTTATGCGGTGAAGCCCACCTGATCTGCGAACGGCGCAGAAATCTGGAGCCTTGTTAGTGTAATTATATATGTTAATTATGATGTTCTGTTCTGTTTAACAGTCCGCTAAATTGTTGAATGTGGATAATCAAATCGAAATATTCGGCTTCTCCTTCTCTATTTTCGTTTGTTCCTGGGTTACTACGTCCTATTGGTATGAGAGCCATGGCAGACTTCGGCAAACACATCGCTAGGAAACCGGGACTGGAAGTGCCTATACCGAAGAATTTTATGGTGTCAGTACTGAGAATCGCGAGGTATAAAGGAAAAATTGTTGTGTCTGGAGGTCGAATGACATCCACAGTCCAATGAAAATACGTCAAGTCACTCAATACCGAGTAATGTGGCTCGTACTACTCCTCGGTACCAGGTGATGTGTCACATTTTCGTTGGACTCCGGATATTAGCTATGGCCGGTGCCCGCACAGAATAATTGCTCGGTATAAAGAGGGTTGAATTCAAGAAAAATTAGGGATGAATTTGATGTGGTCAATTTCGTAAGGGCATCTCCAACTGATAATGCGATTTTTCACGGCAAAATAAAGCAAAATACCAAAATGCCGTGATTCTACTCCAATCGAATTCCATTTTAGATGCTTCTGCGAAGGTAACGATCCTTCTCCCTTTTATCGTGTTTTTTCGCCAAATCCGATTGAGAGAGCAAAATAGCTTGAGTGAACAGTGCAACGTCAATATTGACGTCGCACTGTTCATCTGCAAGTAAATGGCGGAAGATTTGGCGTTCGGCTGGAGTGACTAAACGACGTCATACGCACGTTTGACGTTCGGTTGGAGATGCTCTAACTGGTGAATTTTGCATGTAAAGCTGAATTGCAATAATCTCACTAATGAAAGTTCGGCCATCACTACAAAGGCGTGATAGAATTAGGCCAATAGTAGACCCGTTGTACACCCTATTTTAACAAAGTAAAATCTGAATAGATATATCTTTTAAAAACATCCATTCTGAATTATTTCTATTAAAATTGGATGAGTATGAAATGATTTATTCAGACTATACTAACACGATGTAGATTTCAGTTTCAATCTTTATTTACATATTTCATATTTGAAAGCATATTCAAAACTTATCAAATAAAATACAGAGCTGGTTAAACTTATCAAATGAAATTTACATGCCAAAAAGTTTGATTATGCAGCATTGTAGGCTGTCTTCTATACACAACAAAAATGTATGTATACAAAATGCTTGAATCCTCCTGCCTAAAGCCCTACATGTTCTTTCCCGTTTTTCCTGTAGTACAATTACTATTAATAAGCTAAAGTTTAATAAAATGGATGATTATAATACAAGAAATAATAAACATATAACTTTCAATCAATTATAAATAATATTTGAATTTAATACAAATCATAAGCTGTATGAGAATTTAATGCATAACCATATTGATCACAATATGTAGTCTTTAATTTTTTTCATATTTTTTGTTCTGATTATTTTCAATACTTTAGGATAGTCGTGATGACTATAGGCTTTTGCATATCTTCATCTCTCATTCAAGATTTGATCCAAATTTTTAACTTTTAAAAGTGAGAGAGTTGGGTACCTCCGTATGGTCCCAATAGATTTTCTCGTCAGATCTTTCACTTTTATTTGTGCGAACCTATCCTTCGTAATATAAATTTGCTTATTTACCTTTTTCGTTAAGCTTTATAATTTTATATTATATATACTATATATCTAGTAAATATATGTACATTCAGTAAACTCAACTAGCAAATGTTGAAATCAAGTGTAACAGTAAAAAATCTATATGCTCATTGCTCAATATGAAAATAATTGTTACGACAATTATATAAAAATGTTGTCATAATTATATAAATGCTCTCATTTTTTATACTAGAGATTGGATATCTCATCTCATTCTTTACAATAGTCGTCATCTCGTTCTCTAAAATGGTCGAACAAATTTTCTCTCCTAATACACCCATGCTTCTTTTCAACTTATAAACAACTTAAAACATCAATATTTAACTTTCATTCTAATAAAATAAAACCGGCTATATGAAAATCATAAAAATTCATCCCATGTGCATTTTTTCTCATTCAACCCTTTTTTTTTTCTTTTTCTAAATCTTTCATTTCTTTCTCTCTTTTCCTTCCTCTCATTTTTCCTTGCTGTTTTACTGACAATATTCTCTCTCAGCAGCAGCTACAGTAGCCTGCACCCGCCTCCCAGCGTCAGGCGGTGGTCCGGCGGAGGTGAGGGCCTCAAGTGGTGGTCCGGCGAAATTCGGGCCTCATGTGGTGGTCTGGCAAAGGTGAGGGCCTTAAGTGGTGGTCCGGCAGAGCAACGGCGTTAGGCGGTGGTCCGGCGGAGCAACGGCGTCAGATGGTGGTCCGACGGAGGTGAGGGCCTCAAGTGGTGGTCCGACGAAGGGGTAATGCATTGCGGCCAATTCCAATCTCAATCTATAAATTGTGTGCTAGGGATGGAGCTTATTTACATAATTTTTATACTGAAGTCTATGATTATTGTTGTGGCTTAGAGTATGACGCGGCGATAAAGTTATAATTTTACGTCTTAGCGTTGCACGGATTTCCAACTCACACACAGGAATACAAGATTTTTTATACAAATGGTTATATTATTGTTGCGAGCGTGCCTCAGATGGTGTGTATCCGAACGAAGGGTTGAGGGCCTCAGGTGCGTAGGTGAGGGTCTCCACTGATGGTAACCGGCGAACTCTGGGGTCGAGAGGAGCTTCTTCATTCTCTCTTTCTCTTCTCTTCTTATTTTCTTCTTGCTTGGATCCGCTTTCAAGAGAAATGATCTGATTTATAGATTTCTGGAAGTGACCAGGACCCGTTAAATAGGTGAGAGTCAAGGGTAATGGAAGTGGTTGGTATGGACGGCCGGATGTTGAATTCCCTTGATCATAATTCGTTTGATTTATGATGTCTTAATGATGTCGGAATTTAGGGATCTTGGGCTCATTGGTTTCGTCTCGTCAAACCGCTTGAATTCGACTATAAGTATGTTATATTTGGAAAAACCGTTTGATAATCCAAAGGTTAAATTTTAAGGAGCACTTTAACTATCACATTTAGTGAAAGAAGCAGGTTTTAAAAAATTTAGAAGAAGAAGCTACTAAGCAATTGCCTTGGCGTATTTGATTAGAGAGAGAAAATGAGTGTTATGTGGAGAGAGAGAATGTGGAGTGGTGATAGAAAGGGATAAGAGAGAGAAGAGAAAAAAGTTAGAGAGAGAATAATATTTTATGCGGCTGCACTCTCATCTACAAATTATATATATTATTTTAATTATAAAATAATGAATTTATATGTTTTCATCATTTTTATTATTATTCCTAATTAAACATATAAACTAATAAGTTATTAATTTATATATTAAATAACTTTATTTTTTAACTTAGTTTAATTTAATTACGTAAGAATTTTAATAAATATTTCTTTAAATTTATAACTTAAATTAATGTAATTACATTTAATAAAATTTATATTTAATTTAATTATTTTAAAATTTTATATTTAATTAATTTAATAACTTTTTTTAAATAATCAAAGCACCATCCGAACTCCGATTATTCAGCAACTTATAAGTGCAACTGACGCGTCGTAAAGAAATACGGAACCCAACGACACCAAATTCGACTTAATTCGAGCCCAAATGGGTCCAAATCCAAGGACCCGAAGCACTGTTGGAAAGTTCAACACCCACAAATTGGATTACCAAACGGTTTCAAAACATAACAAGCCTAATACTCTTAATTTCGCACGCCGCGGAGGTCTCGAAGAGAACGATCCAACGAGCCTAAAAAAGATCGCCGAACTTCCGACATCAATAAAGGTCTCAAAATGTCTAAAAACGGTGCATGATCAAGGTTCAACATCGCCGTTCACCGCAACTCCCCATTGAGGCCACTTGACTCTCACCTATTTACGGGTCATAGCACTCCAGAACATCTAATAAAAGAGCTCCCTCGTTTTTTTCGTGATGCCCCAGAAATCAATAGGAGAAGGATTCGTCTGAACATTCTGATCGAACCTCCTTCAGTTGCCTTGCTCGGACCTGAAATATCAAACTACATATAATCAGGATGCTTTACAAAGCCCAGCAGGTCACCTAATAACCTATAACTGAATCAAAGCAGCGGCTATGCTATCATATATGCATGTCAGTCAATCAAATCCATATCAGTCATGGTCAAGTAAGTCTATCGATACGTGAAGTCCATAGTCAATACAACCAGTCCAATCTGCAGCGGCAGACAATATCGATAACAATCAACTCAATAAATCCATGTCAATCTCGATAGAATTCCGTACATCTAATAGGAAATCAATCAATCCGTTCAAATCAATCGCTATCAATCAAATCAAATCGGCCTAATCCAAATCTATCTATTCAAATGAAGAATCAAGGGGACGAGGAAAGCAGTACTGAGTAAACTCATCTAATCTGAGGGACAGTGAATCTCATGGTAGCAAGTCAATACAGTGCAGAAATGAATAACAACAGTGAATCTATAATGCAAGGGATCAATAATCCATAAGTATAGTAACAATGAATCATAAGCAGAAATCAAAGAATCTATAGGCAACAGCTGTCAAATGAACCTTCTATAGCTATTCATGTCCATGCTATCAATCAATATCTATATCCATCCATTTCCTTTATCAATGCTCCAATGTCGATGGCACCAGCAATCATCAGTGAAATCAAATGAAACGTACGATCTAGTAAATCCAATCACAGTCGATAAAGTAGGAAATCTATAAACAATGAAATCATAAAATCAATACAGTAAACATTGCAATTCATACAAAGTCTTACTCGACAAGCACAAATCACTAGTCATGATCATAGTGCTTGTCGGAGAGGTCTCATATTGCCGTTCGCTCACCGATATTCACATCCTACCGCTCGCTTTCAATTCACACTAAGTCGTCACTCTTTTGCCCGGTCGGCCCGCCCGTCGGCCATATA